AAAACCCCAAAACCCCAAAACCCCATTTGACTAGATATATGTTGAGAAATTAATAAAGTGAAATAAATAAATTGTTTGTCAAATACATTTAATGAGCGACTAATTAGCCATGAATACCTCTAATTTAACTTACAGATAGCAACAGCATAATGTGCCAAAACTCATTAAAATAGACCCTTTCAAATAAGATGATGAGGCTGTCAATGATGAAGAGTTTGATAATAATTATGTATCAAGCATAGTAATTGAGAGAGAAGCCCCGTTGCCTACTTACTTCTCAAACTAAAGAGACTCAAAGAAGTATAAAGCAGAGAAGGATGTCAAAGTTTCTTTTCTAGAGGATAATGATTCAACATATTGGGAAAGATCATCTTAGCTTGATGAGTGTAAATTTTAGTTTCAGATAAATACTATGGGGCTTATGAGTTAAAGAGTTAGATGGTTGAAACAATAGAGGGGGCTGTCGTTTGAGTTGTTCGCAAATGTAAAGTCATACTAACAGCAACAGTAATAATAATAGTCAGAGTATTATCATTTCCACAAAAACTCTCAAGAATCGCAGTAATTTGGAGGAAGAGAATTAAAGGTATTAAATGATTCAACACAGATGACCAACATGAAAAGTAAAACATCGGGAAATATCCTTGTATAGTGCAAGAGTTGCGATCAAAGCAAAGTGCCGTTAACGGATGAAAATATTCGTAATTCATAATAAACAACTAGTAGATCAACTGCGATTGAAAATAGTATTATTAACGACTAGATATGTGATGACTGCTTTAGATAAAATAAGCTTAATAGTATTGGCAGTTCCCGCAGGAAATGTAAAAGAACTCGTGTTTCTATCATAAAACTAGTAAATAAGCCAGGGATATCTCCTACTAACTAAAAGGTTGAGATTAATCAAGTCGCCAAAAAAGAATGCTTTGAAGATCCTGAACCCAAAGCTCCCATTAGTAGCTTCTGCTCAGAATCCACAGAATTTAATGAGTATGTGCATTACTATCCAGAGGACTCATCTATAGAAATTGTATAAGTAACGGAAGAAGATAAAGAACCAATAGTAAATGAAATTGAGCAAGTTATTAGTTAATCAGAGGAGAATAAATTGCATGCAATTCTTAAGCGAAATCTGGGATAATTATCGCCCTAATCAGAGTTTAAGAAAAATGACAGAATATATGATATAATAAACTAGGTACAAATCTAGGGATCGATATTAGATAGACTTAAAAAAAGCGATGGGGAGAAGGACAGTGCAAATGTAAGTTTGACTTCTTCGTAGTAGAGCATTTCATTCAATCAAAATGAAGCCTTTGTGGTAAGAAATTTTCATATTAATTCAAACTATTTTTAGCTCAACCTAGAAAATGTTTTGATAATTGAAGATAATTTACGAAGTATTTGTCATTCTTTAAAAGGAAAAAGGACAGAAGAGTTCTAATATGTGATTGATTTATGCGAAGAGTGGTGGGACCTAGCAAGATAGGAGTAGAATACATTCTTTAATCTTGAGGTAGCATATTCTAATTAATTTTTTGTTAGAAACTTTTTAAGGACATAAAGCTAAAACTGAGTTTGAGATATTCATCTACACTTCAACTTACTGCAATTTCTATTATAGGATATATAATATCGAGCGATGTTCATGCTTTAATGCTAGACAAGCTTAGAAGTCTTGCTTATCATGTGCATCAAAATATGATCGTTATCATTCAATTTATCCTTGATAGATTCAACCAAGAATAGGTCTCTTAAAATGTTTGGTTGATTAAGCTGTAAAAATTACTTTCAGAAAGTCCAATATCATTGCAACTATAAAGAAGTAGAGATCGGATTGTTATGATATCGGATAATAATATGATCATCAAGACTCTGCTTGATTGCATTCTTTAAAAGTCTTTCTAGGATAGACATAATATTTAGAATAAGGAAAATTATGATATTTTTATGAACCCTATCTTCGATGCTTCCTTTGAAGTTCTCAATAAGATAGATTTTTTGAACTTTAAATAGTGCAAAAACATTATTGGTAAGAGCTTGCGATCAGATTTTTCTGAAATTGAAATGAAGATAGAACAAGAAGCTTTAAACAGGTCGAATAATGTTTAGACAGCTAATGATTACCGAGTAAGAGTGGATGATGATCTTCCTCTTGTAGAAGCACCTTACCTCAAAGTACCAGTCCTAAATAAAAAGTATACTTTAGTATTGGATATGGATGAAACGCTCATTCATTGTCACGAAGTATCTGAGACAGAAGTGGAGTTAAGAGTGAGACCAGGAGCCGAAGAATTTTTGAAAAACATGTCTAAATACTACGAAATCATTATTTTCACAAATGCTTAGCAGGATTATGCTGACTGGGCATTATCGCATCTAGACACCAAAAGTTGTATTGACTAAAGATTTTACAGACAACATGCTGTGCCTTTATCTACTGAGGAAAATTGCCAGTAAGCATTTTATGTCAAAGATATCAGCAGAATTGGAAGAGATATTAGCAAAATGATAATAGTGGATAACATAGCAGAAAATTACAGACTCCAACCAGAAAATGGTATTTTTATAAAGACATGGGAAGAAGATCCTTATGATTCAGCTCTGCATGAATTGGGCCCTCTCTTAGAGGCCATTGCTTAATCAAACTTTAGCGATGTACGAGATGCATTAAGAATATTCAGGGACTATATGATGAAATAGCTTGCTAGTGGAAATCCTAATCCAACCTAAGGAATATCTCAAAAACTAAAAGAAATCTTCAATAAGCAAAATAGAATATTAGAAAAAGAAAATAGTTCTGGTATTCATCATAAATGAGAGTATAATCAATATAAAAATACCTTATAGGATAATGAAGTAAATTATTAAATGAGACCATATGGAATCAGCCAAGTATAACTTTAGCTTATTTACTTTTAATTATGATAAAAATAAACTTTTATTCTTAAATTTAATTGCAAAATTATAAATATAAATTACCTCAATATATCCGTTAACTATTTAAAACCAAATTTGAAATAAAGGGGTTTTGGGGTTTTGGGGTTTTGGGGTTTTGGGG